TAGATGAGTACTCAACCCTTTATCTATGATACTGAAGACAGTAGATGAGTACTCAACCCTTTATCTATGATACTGAAGATAGTAGTAGACGAATACTCAATATAATTGTGTTTATAGAAAAAACTCTCAGAGAAATTGTCAACATGATAAATGGATTTTATTGATCAAATCTCCGGCAATAACGCTGGAACCACTAATTTTTGACTCGATCATTCATAACAAACGAGCGACGGTAGAGGTTATGCCTTGTATCCATGTGACTGTYYCATTCGTCTTYACTGTGTTTTACGTTGTAAATACCTTTGAGGAAACTTATACAATTCAAAATTAAAAACGATTGGGGCGATTAGCATGATTATATGAACACTAGCCCTTATAGAATATACAAGAAACCTTATTATATACTTTTGTTTATATTGAACAAGAATAACTATTACCTTTAAATTTAAAACATTAAAAATAGTCCTCAGCTGCTAACACAAAAAACTTCTATAGAAAGACCAAAAMGTTGTTTATGATATGAATACTATAAGCACTATTAGAAAAACATCCACCATAGAAACAAAAATGGATACATTCCGTTGACTTTCTATATTGTCTTTAATTACTTTTACTTGTACTAAAATTACTGTTTTTCAGTTTGTGTGCATTTATGCCTGGCCATTTKTCAAGTCATGCATATCWTTTTATTCCTCRATGGAATGCATAGTCTGCCGAGGGTTGCCTGCTATTTCCTTGTTCAATCGACGTTACGGTAATTAATGRTAAAGTTATTTTTCTTCGATCAAATGATGCCAYCGAGCTACTGATTTCCCAGACGACGCCATTGCGTTCCAGTGGTCGACTGCCTCATCAGTTGAGCTAGCTCCGATCATAAGCTTACCAAGTAACTTCTCYCTTCCTCTCTCCGAGTGATGCTTGACAAGGACCATGACACTAACGCGATGAAGAATTCGATGTGGTATATTGAAACTGAACGCCTCGTTCCAAACTGGGTTTAACTCACGCTTCTTGACCACAGTTCGTTTCTTTTTTAACCTCTTTGCCCCCATCATTATATAAACYTTGACAAACGGATCTGGGAAACAAAAGACAACTATTAAGTTTATTGCTATTGAAAGACCGTGGAGAACATGTACTATAAAAGGGTCAGGCAATATAGCTCGCCGCCATCTTGGATTTGAACAAAATTCAGCCGGTTTTTTTTCAAAGTATATACTCAAGTTTACTCTATTTCAAAAACGTCCGATCACCGGGGTGTTTCTAAATTATTTCCAATGGGACGATGTAGCCTAATTCAAATATCATATATATTTGCATGGTACTTACGAGCCGAGAAATCATGAACTATATACMAGGAAAACGTCGATAATACTCCAGCTATTTCAGAAAGCGTTGAACACTGAAGATATAACTATTTCAAAATAGGTTGTCGGATAAAATGGCGAATGTCAATTGACGAACGGCGATTGCACGACCGAAAGTAACCATGGGTTTTGCTAGTWGAAAGGTAATAATAACTTATTTGTACTGTAAGATTGTCTATGCTAAACATTGGCTCCATTTGGTTTCCATTTCTCTGCAAGGTGAATCGAATAAGTGAAATTTTGTTTGTCAAAACAGTGTAACCATAGTCCCTTTCGGTACAATCTCCCTTCGACAATCGCCTTTTGCCGTTCTCCCCGACAACGTTTTTTGAAATAGCTGTATTCCAAGACCGAAATGCTTTGTTGGTCGTTCAAAAGGATCTTCATGGTGACTACAACAGCCGTGTACCGTCAAGAACTTCATTTGATAGCAATTAAATTGCCTTTTTGTAACGAAGCTATTCGCGAAGTTTTTAAAATAACAATTTTTAAAAAGGTTTTTAAAATAGCAACAATGCATTGCGGTCTTGAAATACACTAAGTAGCTAAGTAGTATTCAGTATTCACTATTTCAACGTTTTCTGAAACACCTGTACACACAGTCTAAATGGAGGTCAAAGTCGCTTCTATTTAAAATAAAAGTTACAGTGAAAACGTATGAAGATATCCTAAACAAGGAAAGTGTAATGGCGATTATTATTAGCGCGAGCGGCGAATTATAAATTCAGCATCGTTATAGTGTTATCTTTTTATTATTATTATTATTTTCCTCGTTCAGCAACAAAATGACCAAAATCAGCGCTTACGCACGCAGCTATGATAGTAGTAGGCATGCGCACAATGAAATGTCCACTACATGGTCCACTACAATAATGGCAGACAATCGTTTAGAAAATGTGAGTTCATTTTGGGATACTTTCATCAAACTTGCATGGAGAGAGATTACTTTACGATAGATATATTACGAGCGAATATTACGAGAGAACCCTTAAGAGTAAAACTTCTATCGTGAATGATTCTTCTACTGCTTTTAAACTCGATATAAGCGCATGTTCACGCAGTTATGGGTCTAGTTAATTTCTACGCTTAATATTTACCGGGTTTTCTACTTTTCTCGATGGCCTTGAAGTTTCGTCCTTTCATGACGACAACTGTCAGTTTCTCAGAAGGTTTCCAGTAAGCCAACGACAGAAGAAGCATCTGCCCAGTTTGTCCAACATCGTCGGTTTCAAAACTGACGCCAGTCGGTCGAACCAGTGGAGTGTCATCACTCATTTCTTCAACCTAAAGATTAATCAGACAAAAGTGTTATGCTTGTTTGTTATGCGCGTAATATTTTCATTTCCATTCTGAGATGGTAGAGCWCGGTGGAACACACTTTACAAATTTTACAAAGTTTGGTAGTCATTTGCGCATGATCACTCATCGGTGCGCGCCTGAAACTGCATGGAGTTACCCATCACAGTTTAGAGTTGAATTCTTCTATTTTGAGATTGTAACCGAGTGACGCCCGGTTAGCTCAGTCGGTAGAGCATCAGACTTTTAATCTGAGGGCCGTGGGTTCAAGTCCCACATCGGGCGAYATCATTACTTTTGGATGATGACAGCAGTTCTTATTTATTTATTTTTTAGTATATATTTTTATACAATGAAGACGACGACCTTGTGCTAAACGCTGTATCAAAGTTTATATCCAAAAGTTCACGATCAACTGACAATAGTCCCTTCCATGGTTAAGTGCGCCATCTTGAAAGATAGCCGTGCCTTTACATCGAAGCGAGACGACCGTTGAGCGTGCAATGATAGATACCTGTCTGTAGGTGTGAAAGGTTTCTATCTTTGCCCGCTCAACGGTCGTCTCGCATCGATGTTCAGCTCTAAACTGTGATGGGTAACATTGGTGCATTGAGTGAGCGCAGTATGKAGATGAAAGCGTTGAAGGAGGCAGTCAATAACAGTGAAACGATGCCCGGTTAGCTCAGTCGGTAGAGCATCAGACTTTTAATCTGAGGGCCGTGGGTTCAAGTCCCACATCGGGCGCTATCATTAATTT